TATTCTTTGTACTTTTGAGCAAAATACATAATGGTTAACGCCGAATCGTCTAAAGTGTCGTCATTCCAATAAACAGTTCTACATTTTGGGGGCTCAGCCGGGATAGTGCCAGATGAATGAGTCGAAAGTGTCTGAAGAATTGGGAACTGTGTGCGACGACATCGGCACCGGCGTGTGCTACGCAGGACAACGGTAGCTGTGATCGAAGACGTTGATCCAGAAGACGAAAGACGAAAGACGAAAGACGAGACGAAAGAAGAAAGACGAAAGACGAAGGACGAAAGACGAAAGACGAGACGAAAGAAGAAAGACGAAAGACGAAGGACGAAAGACGAAAGACGAGACGAAAGACGAAAGACGAAGGACGAAAGACGAGACGAAAGACGAAAGACGAGATAAAAAAGGAAGACGAAAGACGAAGGAAGCAGAAAGAAAGAAGACGACGAAGGAAGCGGAAGGCGCGAAAAGACGTAAGGAAGGATCTAGAAGGTTCGAGAAGCATCGGACGCCATATTGAAGGCGCGAAAGACGCGGGACAGTGTATGCGCAAAAGCTACAGCGCATATACACGACGGAGAAACACGACGTGTAAGTGAGAAGTGAAGTTACGATACGAGAACAGTTCTTTGAGTGCCGAATACAATGGAGTGCTTAGGAGAAAATGAAAGAATCAGGAAAAATATCGCGACAGCTCCCGCGAAAGTGATTCAGGCGTTCCATAAATTGGTGTTTGGCGAAGCAGGCGATCGGAAAAACCGTAACCGATTGAGAAGTTTCAGCGGATTTACATTTCAAGATGGAGGGAGCGACTATCACGGTAAAGTTGCACTTATCCAGGAGACTTTTACGGAGCGTGATCTGATAGCGATCTGCAACATTCTTTGTTTGGATTACGGAGGACTGAAAGAAGATATTGCCAAGCGAATTTGCAAGAGCTTGATGGATTTTCATATACTCTGTCAAAATGATGATGATTCCGACGACGATGGCGACGACGATGAAGACGCGAGTAGTAAAAGTGATTACGTACCCGCGAACGGTATGGGTAACGAAAACACTGGGGTGAACGAAGTAGGAAATGCTGGATTCCATGCAAGACGTAACGAGTTACCAGTGATACAGCAAGAGAGGGAAGCAGCGAGGCGTAGAGATTTTGCGCTGACATTTCGAGACGTGGAAGGCTCTATTAGGAATTTTGATGGTAGTGACGCCTATCCGGTTGAACGATGGATAGCAGATTTTGAGGACACCACAACGCTTTTTGGATGGACTGAAATGCAGCAGCTGATATTTGCTAAACGATCTTTGACAGGACTTGCGAAACTTTATATTCAGAGCGAAGGTGTGGTGAAGAACTGGAAAACCTTGAAGGCTATGCTGAAAGAAGAATTTTCCACTAAAATAGACAGTGCTTTGTTGCATCGAATGCTGTCTGAGAGGACGATGAAGAAAGGCGAGAAGCTGCAAGAATATTACCTAGTAATGAAAGAATTAGCGGCCAGGGGAACAATCGAAGACGAGGCATTGATACGATATGTCATCTATGGTATTCAGGACGACGAACGAAACAAAGCGATTCTTTATGGGACCAAAAAATTGCGTGACTTCAAAGAGCGCTTACGGGCATACGAGGAGATATGGGAGGCGAACCAGACGCAAGCTCCTAAGAGTATCCGGGGAAAGGTGACAGCGGCAAAGAAGACGATGCAGGAACAATCAAAGAAGTCAGAGGTCCAAACTAAGACGGTACGGTGCTATAACTGTGGTGATGTCGGGCATGCATCTAAAGACTGTAAGTCGAAAACGTTAGGGCCAAAATGTTTTAAGTGTAACCAATTCGGACACAGGTCCTTTGAATGTGTTGCGAATGCAGAAAGTAAGAAAGTAAATAACGATAGAAGCAAGGCGTCAGTAAATAGTATTTCGGTTGCGCCGAATAATGATATATGTAAACAGGTAATAGTCGGTGACTTAAAAGTCCGTGCTTGTCTAGATACGGGTAGTCGCGTAACATTTATCTGCGAAAGAATTTATCATGAGTTAAAGGAACCTACTCTAAATAGCGTTCAACTTTCATTAGTCGGATTCGGTCAAGCCGAAGTTAAACCGTTAGGATGTTTCCAGACTATAATTAAGATAGACGACGAGGAATTTTCAGTTAAAGTATATGTAGTTCCGAATTCCGCTATGACATTAGACATGATTATCGGGCGTGACGTGTTGCTACAAGCCAATGTTACTATCGCTAAGGGTGAAGTGACAGTTACGAAAGAAAGACAATTTGTTTTTTTAGCTGACATAAATGTAGGAGATGAACCCTCGTTAGATATTGGTGAGCAAGTGAATGAGAAGATAAAAGGCGAGATTAAACATATAGTGACGAATTATAGACCCGCTAAATGTAAAACAACGAACGTCGAAATGAATATTGTTTTAAAGACGGAGGAACCGATCTATCAACGACCGCGGAGATTACCTGCGATAGAGCGCGATATCGTTGAGAAGCAAGTGCGTGATTGGGTGAAGGACGGCGTAGTAGAACCTTGCTCTTCCGAATACGCCAGCCCAATAGTGATTGTAAAAAAGAAGGACGGGTCAGTACGCATTTGTGTTGATTATCGTAAGATAAATCGGGTGATAGTAAAAGATAGGTACCCGCTACCTCTTATAGAAGATCAATTAGATAAATTGCAGGATGCAAGAATATTTAGTACTTTGGATTTGCGGAATGGGTTTTTTCATGTAGATGTAACAAATGACTCCCGCAAGTATACATCATTCGTGACTCACTGTGGACAGTATCAATTTTTAAAAGTTCCTTTCGGGTTGTGTAATTCGCCGTCAGTTTTTCAACGATTCATAAATTGCGTGTTCGCGAAAGAAATTGCAGAAGGGATTGTTATTCCATATTTGGACGATTTGATCATTGTCGCGCCAGATATTGAAGAAAACATTAAACGACTAAAAAGAGTATTGCAAACGGCTAGTGAATACGGACTCGAAATTAATATTAAGAAATGTCAATTTTTGGTAGAGCGTGTTGTATTTTTAGGATATGTTATAGAAAACGGTGCATTACATCCATCTCCAGATAAGTCACAAGCAGTTGCCCTTTTTCCGGAACCAAAATCGCTAAAAGATGTTCAGAGCTTTTTAGGCCTGACTGGCTATTTTCGTAAATTTATTGCTAATTATTCGACTATAGCAAAGCCGTTAAGTGATCTTTTGCGCAAAGACGAAAAATTCAGATTTACCAGGGAAGAGAGTAACGCGTTTTGTTTGTTAAAGGACGCACTTATTAAGAAACCTGTGTTAAAGATTTATCATCCGCTTTATGAAACAGAGTTACATACGGATGCTAGCCAACACGGTTATGGAGCCGTTTTATTACAAAGATCGCCTGAAGATCAAAGACTTCATCCGATTCACTACCTAAGCCGTAAAACAAGCGACGCTGAAAGTAGATATCCTAGTTATGAATTAGAAGCTCTCGCAATTATCACTGCGTTAAAGAAATTTAGAGTCTACTTGCTAGGTATCGAATTTAAAATAGTGACGGATTGTGCTGCTTTTCAGCGAACGATGGAAAAGAAAGAATTATCATTAAGAATAGCGCGATGGGCTTTGATGCTCGAGGACTTTAAATACACGATTGAGCACCGAGCGGGCACTAAAATGAGGCACGTCGATGCACTTAGTCGATATCCTATTATGTTAATATCCACAGGCGAAACTACGTTAAAAATACAGAAGGCTCAGTATAATGACAGTGGACTCATACCTATATTTAAAATATTAGAAAGCCAACCATACGAAGATTATTTTGTTAAGTCAAACATGTTGTACAAATCGCAAAACGGTCTAGACCTTATAGTAGTACCCGAATCGATGCATAATGAAATTATAAAGATGATCCATCAGAAGGGTCATTACGCGGTTAAAGTTACGGAAGAACAAGTTAAGCAAGAGTATTTTATACCAAATCTAAGATCGAAGGTTGAACGATGTATCGTCAATTGTGTTCCGTGCATATTAACGAATAGAAAGAGTGGAAAACAGGAAGGTTTCCTTCATCCTATTGTGAAAGGCGATACACCTTTTCACACATATCATATTGATCATTTGGGTCCTTTACACTCGACTAACAAGAATTATAACCATATTCTGGCGATCATCGATAGTTTTAGTAAGTTTGTTTGGCTATACGCCACTAAGTCAACGACGACCAAAGAAGTAGTTAGTAAGTTAGAGATACAGAAGGTCTACTTTGGAAACCCGGTTCAAATCATAAGTGATAAAGGCTCCGCTTTCACTTCAAACGAGTTCAAAGTATACTGTGAGTCAGAAAATATAAAGCACTTAACGATAACCACCGGATTACCCAGGGCCAATGGCCAGGTAGAAAGGCTAAATCGTACAATTTTGTCGGTCTTGAGTAAATTAACGGTAGATGCACCAGACAAGTGGTATAAGCATATCGGTAGATTACAACAGATAATTAATTCCTCCTTTCACCGTAGTATCGGAACTACTCCATTCGAATTGCTTTTCGGTACAAAATTACGGAGTAAAGTTGATTTTCGTCTTAAAGAGTTAATAGAAGAGGAATTACGTGATCAATTTCAGGACGAACGAAATGAATTGCGGAATGCTGCAAAAAATCAAATTTTAGAAGTTCAAAAAGAGAATCGCCGAAACGTATAACTTGCGTAGAAAAAAACCGACTAAATACTATGTAAACGACTTGGTAGCAATTAAGCGTACCCAACAGGGTCCAGGTTTGAAGTTGAAACCTAAGTTTCTCGGTCCTTACAACATAACTGATGCTAAAGCAAATGATACTTATAACGTAGAGCGTGTCGGGACGCATGAAGGACCTCTCATTACTTCAACATGTGCAGAGTATATTAAACCGTGGACAACCAATAAGTTGCTGCCCGAGTCGGTCAGCGGTCAGAATAGCCGAATGTAGGAGCGCTTCTCTGGTATTCAGTACCATGTGCAGCTAATCGCGATAAGCGAGCGCCACCGCGGCGCTATAAGCGAGTAGTAGAGAATAAGTATGTGATCGAGAGAGATCCTGCGTACACGTGAAGCGAAGCATTGTATTATTATTCCTTGTACTTTTGAGCAAAATACATAATGGTTAACGCCGAATCGTCTAAAGTGTCGTCATTTCAAGAAACAGTTCTACATAACGTACATACATGTCAGTTGTAAAATTTCTCACTCATAGATATAACATATATTATATTTACAGCTAGAGATGAGAGGTAATAGGTTATAAAGTGCAATTATGAAGTATTGATATCGTTATCGCGGGGTGTTAAAGGAGCTTGATTAGCTTTAGCAGCTACAATACCAATATTTTATAACTAAAATATATAACATATATTATATAACAAATGTTAGATCTATATATGTTTAAGTTAAATGTTGCACAACCGTGTAAATTATATATCTGTTGATTATTTTGTTTTTTATATATCTGTGTTTGCTAGAATATTAAATATATAT